ACTCAGTTGTCGAAAGATCGCGCCAGCGCCGCCGCCGCCGTCAGGAGGAGCTCGAGGATCTAATAAAACGCGACACCCTAAAGATATTGCAGCGTATCCGTAAGATTGAATTGGATAACGAGCTCGATCAAATGTCGGACGATTTTAAGCGCTCAATTCGCGGCAAGTCCGCCAGTGCCATTGCCCAGGCGCTGCTCTCCGAATCGGAGAAGAACATCAAAACGGCCAAAAAGGAGGAGGAGGACTACATCTCGCAGACCCTGGTCCGTTCGAGTCGGGCCGTTTCGCGGGCCCGTTCGCGTTCCTCCTCCCCCTTGGATGGCCAATTGCGTGCCCATGCTCTTCACATCGAGCTAATGGACGATCGCCTGGTGGACAAACTGGACCATCGTGTATCCTCATCGCTCCACAATGTGAAGCGCCAGCTGTCGACCCTTAATCAGCGGACGGTCGAGTTCTACGCGGATAGCAGGTGTGGTATAGAGGATAAGTGCTGGATCTGTCGCAAGGTCCTGCGCACCCATCCCAAGCTCAAGGATTATAGCTATATATTTTGGAAGCACTAGGTCCAGGTTCCCAACTCCAATCCCATTCCCATTCCCAATCCCTTACTTTCAACTTCATTTGATATATTTTTGATTCCCAGTTAAGGAATTTTATATATTTGTTGACGATCCAAAATGTATCTCATAAAGTGTTTAGCACTTGATTTTAAAAAGTATCTAATGGATATGTTTTTAATATCAAAATTAATGGCTATGCACAAGTACGAGATAGGAAAACCTTTTGAAAATCAAATACATGATTTTTGGAAGCTACTTTTTGGATATTTTTCATTTCTTAAGATATTGAAAGATTCATATTTTGGAAGCCACGAAAATGTGTTAATATCAAGTGGATCGATCGATCTGTTTCTCTGTGTAGTTCCCATCCGGGCAATTTGAATAAATGCGAACATTTTTGAATTGCAGCTCAATTTTTTTTGTCTGCCATTCCTACAACCTCCTCATCCTCATCCCCCGCCTACCCAACAATTTTCCATCTCTATTTGTCTATTTGCCGTTCCTCGTCTGGCACAAAATGTATTTTTGTTTCAAGAGTTTTCACGAATTGCGGTCTTGTTTTGTTTCACTATGTTGGCCGCCTCTTCCATTGTGTCTGTTGCTCAGTCTTCTGTAAATTATTTATACAGAATTATGTGCAGCATATTTGACCACGGCTAATTGCAGAGGATCGCCAGCAATTTGGCTATTAATTATTAAACTTTGTGGGGGTTTCGTATGTATAAGGAAAGATAGAAGGCTGATAATCTAACTAACTTGCATAAGAAACTAGAAGTTTTATCTTTAAAGTCGTAAAAAGGTTTAGGGACTTATTAATCTTACTTTTATCAATCATAAAATGCTTGAAAAATAAAAGATTTTCCAAAAGATAGTGAAAACGTTCTACTCTAACGCCAACCCATTCATCACTTTCCCTGAAAATATCGACATTTTTACCCTGTCCTATCATATTTCGCACCCGCACCTCAGGAATCTCGAGGCTGTCACTCTGATTTGCGCGTAGATGGTCCGACGAACTATTGTTTTGGGTTTGTCCTTCAAATCAAGATTTATTTTATTTTCAACTGAGGAAAACTGAGGCGCATGACAGCAAAAACAATCACAAGAATACCAAAAAAAAAAAGAACAACAACTTAGACCTCAGCGAATATTTTTGCGTAAACATTGAAAACAATGGCAGGGAAAAATGAAATTCTAAATGGGAATGCTTAAGTTTTCTAGCTAAGATGCTAGCTAGCTAGACAAATACCTTGGCAAAGCGACAGCAATGGGCACACATACGATTTGAAGATTAAGTAACCCACACAGGGGCTTTCTATAAGAAAACATACTATTTAGCTAAACACAAAGATCATCGGAATTAGGAAATTCTGTGAGATAGGGGACGCCCCCGGTAATATTATTTGATGATATAACTAAGAAATGCTGTACTAATTTAGTGGTAGTAATGGTTATGATGGTCTAAATCAGTACGTTTATGTTGCTTATGTGCTAACAAAAAGATAAGCATACTCACAAATGCATTTTACTAGAATATATTACTGGAAACCTTTTGATCAACTTAGACTTCTATAGTAATATTTTAAAAAGCCATATAAAGTTACCCATAGAATTAGCATTCATTGCCCAACTTGACTCCCATCTTAGACTAGTAAATTCATACATTTCTTAAGCATTCCCACTAAAATAGAACCATGTAGTCATAGTTCACTTATCAGTAATTACAACAGGTACATCATGTTAGCCACTCAAATTAGAAAGTGAATCAGGTAGGGTATCAGAAATACAAACATTACTCAAATTTAGTTTGGCATCCGTTGCAAGACGAATGCACCTACGCCCAAGAATAGACGCATGATGCACTTACCCCAAAAAACAAAACTAAATTTGAGAAGGGTGGTGGGTAGGGGGTGCAGAAGGAACTGCACGGCAAATAGTTTGGCATGTAGACCCAAGCTATTTGTGACAAGTTCGATGTCTTTATCATGCGTAAAAATACACAGAAATTCGCGAATGCAGCAGCCAGCCATCGAAACAATGAAACATTTTTGACAATGCCAGAGCACCTGAGTTGAGTGGTTGAGTGCTCGACTGCTGCTGAGTGGTGTGAAAAATTCAATTTGTGGGTCAGTCATTGGGGCCAAAAATAGAGCCAGCAAAGCGAAACTACGGAGGGTCATTCAGAGGTAAACTGGGGCTACTTCTTACGATATCAATACTGTACAGTACGGGAATTCTATGTCCATTATCTAATGCCCAATCTTCAATCTTTAGCAAGCAGACCTCGATCGAGATCGAGCAGCTCAATGCCCGTGTCATTGAGGCTGAGACCCGGCTGAAGACCGAGGTGACCCGCATCAAGAAGAAGCTGCAGATCCAGATCACCGAGCTGGAGATGTCCCTGGATGTGGCCAACAAGACCAACATCGATCTCCAGAAGGTGATCAAGAAGCAGTCGCTCCAGCTGACCGAACTGCAGGCCCACTACGAGGACGTTCAGCGCCAGCTGCAGGCCACTTTGGACCAGTATGCCGTTGCCCAGCGTCGTCTGGCCGGTCTCAACGGCGAGCTGGATGAGGTCCGCTCTCACTTGGACAGTGCCAACCGTGCCAAGCGCACTGTGGAGCTCCAGTACGAAGAGGCTGCCTCTCGCATCAACGAATTGACCACCGTCAACGTCAACCTTGTCTCCATCAAGTCCAAGTTGGAGCAGGAGCTCTCTGTGGTCGCTTCCGACTACGAGGAAGTGTCCAAGGAGCTGCGCATCAGCGACGAGCGTTACCAGAAGGTCCAGGTGGAGCTCAAGCACGTCGTCGAGCAGGTGCATGAGGAGCAGGAGCGCATTGTTAAGCTGGAGACCATCAAGAAGTCTTTGGAAGTCGAAGTCAAGGTGGGTTATTAGTTCTGGGTTATTTTGATATCTTCAATTTTCATTTTTAACTTCATAATAATTCTTTTGAAATCTGTATTCCTCACCAGAACTTGTCCATCCGCTTGGAGGAGGTCGAGCTGAACGCCGTTGCCGGCAGCAAGCGCATCATCAGCAAGCTGGAGGCCCGCATCCGCGATCTGGAATTGGAGCTTGAGGAGGAGAAGCGCCGCCACGCCGAGACCATCAAGATTCTGCGCAAGAAGGAGCGCACCGTCAAGGAGGTGATCGTGCAGTGCGAGGAGGACCAGAAGAACCTCATTCTGCTGCAGGACGCGCTGGACAAGTCCACTGCCAAGATCAACATCTACCGCCGCCAGCTGTCCGAGCAGGAGGGTGTTTCCCAGCAGACCACCACCCGTGTGCGCCGTTTCCAGCGCGAACTGGAGGCTGCCGAAGATCGTGCCGATACGGCCGAGTCTAGCCTGAACATCATCCGCGCCAAGCACCGCACATTCGTGACCACCTCGACGGTTCCCGGATCCCAGGTGTACATCCAGGAGACCACAAGGACGATCGCCGAATAGAGCGCCCATCTCCGCACCGAGATCATTTCATTAACAAAACGCGAACCGAACCAAACCGAACCGAAGAAGATCAGGCGGAGAGGTCAGAGTGCAGGAAAAGAACGAGAATTGCGTGAGAAAGTTTTTATAATTTAAATTTTTTTGTCAAAATCCCCAAAATGCCGAGGCTAGCGATCAAGAACCCAGTGGACCTCGGCAAGGGGCTCGTATAGGCTACACACTATAAATACATAACACTACACATCCTATCTTAAATAATAATAATACTATTTTGAAGTTCATGTAATTTAATTAAAATAATGAACCTGAAAACCTAAAAACAAAAATAAAAACAAATCAACGAAAACTTGGCAGAGTTTTGCTAGCGATAGATTATACCACATACGATCTATATATATATATACTTAGAGATGAGAGAAAGAGAGTTTCGCTGAACAATAACGTTCGATGGAGACAATTTGGAAAACTAATCTATAATAACTTGAAATGAAAATGATAATCGTCACCAAAAGATCCCACTAAGCACGCCAACGCAGCATCGAGTTAACCGAGTTACAACCGCTTCTACTATTTGTTTTTAGTTCACTTTATGTTTAGTAGGTAAATTTCTGTGTGCTCGTAACGAATTTGAATTTTACATTAAATCAACATCAACAAAACTGAGCAAACTTCACATTTTTTACTTTGTATCTTGCAATAAAAACGAAATTCTATTCATAATAATAACAAATAAGAAATTATAAGTGAAAATCTATTTTACTAAAGGGGTAAAAGTGGATTTGATAGAAAGCTGATGGCAGCTTCAAGTTCTTAAGATGGTATATTCTTTGAGTGGGAAACTTAAGCCATTGACTGACTTAACTTAACTTAATATTATCTGTACTAAAGTTGGTCTTTAAAGACGTTCTGCTGGTGGATTTAGCATTGCATAAACTTCTTTCCCCCAAGCATTGGTAACCCAACCCAAGAAATTCATTTTGATTTAACTTGCTTTAAGCTATCACTATTTATTAACACTTTCGGAGCTATACAATCCAAGCTCTTAGATGGCAACAACACCCAGTTTGGATTCGGTGTTCAGAACCGCCTTCTCGCCATAAGATCCGCCGTAGTGGCTCTTCTTGAAGACTGAAAAGTAGAGATAAAAGGGAAAGTAAGTATGGGTGTCTTAAAGATCAATTTAAGTCTATTTGAGGTTCTGTTAATATGAGTATTTATGGATTATTTTAACAATTTAATCCAGCTAAGAGCACCTTAAATGACTAGATAATAACCCACCTGGATCGATTTCGGCCACGAAAGAGCGTGGTGGCAGAGCAGCCGCGTAGAGCTTGTCCAGAGGACCGTAAGGCTTGGCCAGAAGAGGACGGCCCTGTTCCCATCCATATCGGTTGAGGGCATACCAATCAGCACCGTCCAATTTGGCGGCAGAGGCAGCGGCACCAGCGGCATTGGTCAGGGCAGAAGCCTGGGCCTCAGCAGTCTCGGCTGCTTTGACAACATCTCCATAGCTGGGACCGTATCCGGAGCCGCCGTAGTTCGGGCGATTGGCCACAGTCAGGGCAATGCAGCAGGCCATCAGGCAGAGAAGACGCAGGGTGGCGGACATATTTTTGTGGGGATTTTGGCGTTGGTGCGAGGAACGGACTGTTTCGAAAACTAATTAACCAGAGCGTGTGTCCAAATTGCTTTTATAGCAACACCATTTGAGCTGCTCCGCGATTTGTGAGCTCACCAGACGTGACCAAACCAGCTCGATGACCAGTCACTTTCGGGGGGGCCACCAGCGCCAGCATCTTCAACCTACCCGCCACCGCCTCTTTCCCAGTTCGATAAGGCCCCGGGATCGTCTCCAATTTCTATGCTCATTGAAATTGCGCGCCAAATTGCGGCACTGCAACAACCCCGGGAACCCCGAGAAGCTGCTCCATTGATAGCGACTTCCCCCTGCTCGGCACGCTCTGTTCGCTTCTGGTGTGTGCGGTATCGGGGCTTTGGCCGTACTCCATTGCGATCCGGCCAATGCACGCATCGAAAAATCGGGCCAAGTGGGGTTAATGCCAGTGATCAATGAACATGAACCGGAACCTGTGAAATCATCAAGTCTTATGGTTTGCCTTAACCCACTTACTTTTCAACTCTTTAAAGTTTATTAATCATTATCTAAGCTAACAGTTCTGGATTTTTGATTAGAATAAAAAGAAACTAATTATTTACCCTTAGAATCGATTAAAATTTCACATTTATTTCTAAAAGCTGAGATAAGAAAGTCACTGCTGAAGTCTTGAAGAAAAGTAATTTTAACCAGAAAAAGTGTAAGTTTAAGTTAAGGTTTAATCTGGAAATAGTTAGTTTATAATCATGCTCTTATCCAGAAACTAAGACAGAATTAAATAATATATTATATTTCTCTTAAATTTATTTAAAGTATTACTAAAAAATATTCATACCATAAGTCCAAAAAACTGAAACAAATTCCAAAAACTACCGTACATCAAAACATTTACTAGCAGTATTAATTTTACCGACAACTTTTCCCATGAATTATACCGCACTCAATCCAAGAATTCTTGCCGTGATTCACCCCGCTCGACTCGAATGTCAAGCGATGGCCAGCAGCATTGAAGCTCTTGGCCAAGAGTTTCGGCCCCAAACAAGTCAGCAGATGTGTTTGCTTACCAGCCAGAAAATTGGAGCGGCAATCGGCGAAACCAACTGTGGCGCTTTCTGGCCGCAAGATTATTGACTGACTGACACAATAAATAATTGAATGTTTATGGCTCTGGCACATTGGTGAGTGATTTGAAAGTGAACCGGAGCAAGCAAATCCGGAGCACGTTTCCGCCAAGCCACTCAAATGCATTCCCGTCGGCAACTGCAATCAAATGTTACTTCTCCGCCCACTCTGAACAGCTGCTGCAGCTGCATTTGAGCTTGAAAACCCCGAAAATTTGTTTTCTCATAGATATTAATACAACTTAAGGCACCCAAAAAATATTTCAAAATTATTATGATTTTTTTCTTGTAGTTTATTATTTACACTATCAGGCTGAGATCAAGTACCCGCCATGTTGGCTGGGATCTTGTATGTGCCTAGTAGCCGCTGCTACGTTGTCCACCGTATTGGCTACCGTACTGGTTGCCATACTGGTTCTCGGGGATGAACAGCTTGGCCACTGGGGCGGCAGGGCGGATGGGCAAGATCACCTTGCTGTACTCCGGGGGCGAGACATAAGCCTTGTAGTTGTTCTGGCCGGGATAGAGGAGAGTGGCGCCAGCAGGCTGGACAGTCCACCTGGGTCCATAGCCACCACGGCGGTAGTTGCCACCGTTTCCGTATCCACGACGCTCACCGCCATATCCTCCGCTGATCTGGATGGGACGCAGAATCTCGGGTCCATAACCACCACGAGGTCCTCCGGCAATGATCTCCACGGGGCGCTCATAACGCTGCTGACCCTCGTTTCCGGCGGCAGCAGCTGAACTGGCAGCCGAGGCAGCAGAGCTATCCTGACCGTAGCTTCGGGGTCCGTAGCTCTGTGGGCCACCGTAGTTGGCATAACAGCTGCCTACGATGCAGGCGCAGAAGATAACTGCTAGAGTCTAGAAAATCAGGAAAATTCCCAATTAGCCTTCGTTCGGAAAATGGAAAGCTAGCAGGGAATAGGGAAATGGTCTTCAGGGACACCATCAATACTTACAGTGAACTTGTTCATGGCTATGATGTATGGGTTTTGGCACAGTTGGCAGAATTAACATATTAAATGGCAAAGCACACTTCTTTATATAAGCAAAAATTATTGTTGCACTCGAAACGTGATCTCGCCCAGAAATTTGTCACGGCTCAAGAGCCAGCTTCGCCGTCTCTTCTTGGCCAGTTTGTTGGGGAACTTTCTGTGGATTTCTAGCTTTTCCTAGCCAGATATCGCGGCTCCGCGCTGAGTTCTTTTCTGGTTGAGCAGGTTGCTCACCGACGCATTTCGTATCTTCGACATTCGGCTGACGACCTTCGTTGGGGGTGGCAGATGCCGATGGTTCAATTGGGGCCGAAAATCGAAGTTGGCTTATTGTTGGATTATGCGGTGCGTGAGGGAACGCTGCCGGTTTAGGGGGATAACTGGGCGGTAAGTCAACGTGCCGCTAAAGAAAGTTGGATCATTATTAAAAACTGATCCAACACTTTTTAAGAGTATTAAGTTGCTGAGAACAAATATAGCAGATGAAGTGGAACTCTTGTTAGCATCATGAAGATATAGCTGAAACTTAAGAATTTCTCTTCAGAAATTTAGAAGATATTTAAGTACAATATCAGTAAATTTTTAAAATTGTGCAATGATTGTACAAGATTATAATAGATGGATTTCTAAAAATGTTTAACTGTTTCGCTAATATTGAACTGTGATTCTTCAAGACTGAACTTGGCCTGAAGTAATAATACCCCACCAAGCAGTCTTTACCAAACTGCGCTAAAAAGTATGCAACAATTACAAAAAACAATATGGATTTTTGTTCGATATTTTCCATTGCGTTCATGCTGTTTTTATTCGCTGATTCTCAGAGTTTCGCTTTGACAGCCACTCGAGGATACAAACAAGGAGTCGATAGTTCGATTCGCTGCCGAAGAAGCAGGAATTAGTATCCACCAGGTCCACCGTAGCCACGGCCGATCTCGTAGCCGCGTCCACCATCGATCTCGTAGGAGGGAATGGCGAACTGGCGGTAGCTTCCGGGCTTCACGGCGGCAGCGGAAGCAGCGGCGGCAGCAGCGGCACTTCCACCATTGCCCTCCGATCGTAGGCTTCGGGGATAGTTGTCATAGCCGCGGCTAGGTCCGTAAGCAGGAACCTCCTCGTAGACGACGCGTTGGATTCCACCATAGCCACCACCGTAGCCACCACCGTATCCTCCACGGTTGCCGTACACTGGGCCGGCGTTGGTGTAGGCGAAGAGAGCCAGGGTAACACAGACAATCTAAGGATAGAATGGGGAAATCCCGAGGATTAGCTGGCTGCTAAATTCCTTGCGCTTGTAGTTACAACTTACCAGGTACTTCATGGTGAGTGCTTAGTTTTGTTGGTTTGGGGTAATCAATCAAACTATGATTTACTGACCAGAAACGGTCGCTTTTATACGCGAAAATTAGCCTGGATATTTACGTGACCTATATACACAAATTGCTCTGTTTCAGTCCATAAATCGCATTTCATAATTGGCCCCGGCTCGAATATACTCACATTTGATTTATGTACTTCCATTTACTCGTTGTCTGGCCATTATAAAATCGCTTGGTTACGCGATGTGCCATTCTACCGGACCCGGGGCTTTAGTTTGGGTCTTGATAGTTCCACAAACACGCGACTCTCTCAGTTGGTACCCACGAACGCGTCTATTTGAAATACTCGTATACTCCAAAATTTGTTGTAATTAACTTTCTGTTTTTTCACATTCTTGGGGGTAATGTTTCACAGGTCGGTTGTGACTCTTAGAGTGGGTTAGTCAAAGGGCTAATACATCTGGAACTGGTTTAAGCCGGTTTTCCCTTCAAAATATCTTACTACACTTACAGTTTTGAAATATTTTTAAAATGACTAAGTAGCCTGAATTACATATCATTTAAGTTAATAACTTTTATACAGTTTAAGTTTTTAATATAGTTTAAAAAATATTTAGAGTTTCTTAAATAAAATTTGGTATTAAATTAAGCATTTTGAGCATTCAAACTTCAATTATAAATCTACTTAGATTGGTTATATTGAGGTAATAAACGTTTCCCAATTCAAAAAGAAATTCACATCATTCTTTGGCTCTTCAGCCACTTCTTTCACATTAACTTTTTGACCAAGAAATTTTTGCTGGCTCAAAAGTATCTTATGGCATAGCGAAGAACCAAAGTCTGTGCCAATTTAGCTAAGACATGCAGAGTACAGCTCTTGGCCAGAAATTTTAGCCCCAGTAAGAATAATAAACACTATAAAAATTTAAGTCTCGATGTTTGGCTTTTTTTATTATGACCTAGTTCCTTATTGGTAGGTAAGTTTCTGATTCACTGTTCATGGTTTTTCCGCTTAGTAGCTGGGCCTCTTGTAACCCTTCTTTCCGGCGGCCACGGAGCTGGCGGCAGCAGCTGCTGAACCTCCCTTCACCTTCTCACTGCGTCCGTACTCCTGGGGTCCGTAGCTGATGGGTGGGTACACGGGCTGGGCATAACGTGGGGGCTCCTTCCAGACCAGAGGAGCACCGGCACTGGGCGCGGCAAGGGCGAGCTTAGCCAGGGCAATAGCTTGGGCATCGACTGGTGGAGCACCACCGTATCCAGATCCGTACTCAGATCCGACATTAGCACCGCTGTAAGCAGATGCCAGAGGAGCCGACTCGTAAGCACCACCATATCCTCCATGGTTTCCACCATATCCACCGCCGTACGAGGGAACGATGGCCTTAACGGTCAAAGCAGGCTGCACCTGGTAGGCATAGCCACCAACTGGGGCACCACCGTATCCACCACTGGGACGACCATAGGCATTGGCCGAAACCGCAGAGATGGCGCAGAGGCAGATACACTAAGGGATTAGGGAAAAATATAAATTTAGTTAGGTTCTAAAAAGCTTTTTAAGAGTTTTCCTCAGAAATTGGGATCAAATGATTTTTATTTTATTAATAATTCCAGAGGGATATAGTTTGAAAGTTATAGAAATATTATTAGATATTAAGACTCACCATGAACTTCATCATTCTGAGGCTGAGTTGGTTAGTTGATCGTTGCGAAGGTAACTAATGTCTTATTCTGGCTTACTGTTTTGTTTTTATACCAGATCCAGGCAGCCGCCGAACGCTTACGTGACGAATATGATGCAAGTTTCGGCTCTCGGGGTTCCCGGAGACGCAGTTCCAGGTCTCGGCTCTTTGTCCGGCAATCTTAAGACGCCGCCGGAGACGTGCAGCCAGGCCAAATCCACTCTGGCCAAAAAGCTAGCTCTCATTTTGGCCCGGTCCAGATAGCAGGCGTCTGTGCTTACGCCATCGTCTGCCGGAGACGAGACCCCGTTACGTAAGATTCCGACAGCATGACTCTTCGTGCTCCGGATCCACATGGTTTCTACCATTATTCGAATCGATTTGCCCCACGGTGCCGAGAGCTTGACACCGATATTTCAATGACACACTAAAGCCAAGGCAGTGGCCTGAACTTTCTGCTGCGTTGGTAGAATTTATATACAAAAGCAAAAAAAATTGAGATAAAATTACAATAAAATTATAAACACTTAACCGTTCCACTTTTCAAATTGCCTCGCTAAGCTTTTTATAATATTTAAGTGGCGCTACACAAATTGTGAATGGCTTATAAGCGGGCGCAAACTTTTAATAATGACTTGTGAATTATTTAGATGTGGGCCAGGCTCAGGGCCCCAGCAGCCAGAAGACGGATGAAAACGATCTTTCTCCGGATGCATTTTCTCTTTAAGATTGCTTTATTGGTCTTTAAACTAGTTGCTCTGCTCTTAGGAATTAAGTAAAAATATTATTATAAGACTGCGAACTGGAACTAGCAAACGATATAAAGATAAATATTAAATAGTAACAGCATTCGGCTATGTAATGCATAAGTAAATCGGCTGAAACCTCAAGCCAAGATTGACGGATCTGAACATCCATCACAAGCCCGATATAGCTAGCTTGTTAAACAAGATATTTAACTGAAGCTAATCTAGATGACCGACACGTCTGGACCAGGGCCCTCAGACCTTATAAGAGACGAGCTGCCGATGATCAGCTCAGAAAACTAGCTCCAAACGCTTACAAAATGAGTAGTCTGCGCTGCAAGGTGAGATAGGCTGATTATGGGTTCATCATGACGGTCACATTAATAGTCATTTCTGTCTACAGATCCTACAATTGGCTGTACTGCTGGTGCTGGCTGCTTTGCAGATGGGTGCAGATCATTTGGACAGCGATGAGTGCGGTTGCGGGCGGCGAGGTTGAGATGAGACATCAATAAACAAGCGACGAGCAATGCATACAATTCGAACGGTTGTGGGTTCTGGGGTTAAACCTATCAGAAGACACGTACGGTTAGTCGCGGGCCAGCTGGGTATCGCACATGGCCCGCAGCCGGGCGAGCAGCATGTGCAAATGCTTTAAGCAAGCTGTCGGCAATTGCTGGGCCCCTAGGCCATGTTTCCCAGTCAAGGTTTCCATATACATGCGCTTGTACAGCTTTGACAACTGCTTGGGATCCTTGCCGGTCAGCGTGAGCTTCGTAAGTGTCTTTAGAGCATTTTGCAATCGGCTCTCAAAGAGTGTCAAATGGCCGGCAAACTCGTCATCGGCCACTTGGCCACTGTTAGTATCGATGACGTGGGTAAAAATGAATTGACACTGTAAACAAATGTCCAAAGCCGCTTGCATTTGCTTGATCTTCTGAGCGGTGTGAGTGGAAACTGCCGGGAAATTGAAAAACTTGAGTCTTGGTTATCTTGATCTGAATATACATACGTTCGGCCAGAAATTCGTGAAGGGAAATCCGCTCTAGCTGCACCACTAACAAATCTCCCACCTCCTTGAGAGCTTCCAGAATTTGGGTGGCCTTCTCGTAGTGGTATTTGCATAGTTGTAGAGTAGACTTGGGCAGCTGAGAGAAATCACAACAGCCATGTGAACGCAGTTGCGAATAGTGGAAGGAGGCAATCCTGAAAAGTCAAAGATGGCTTAATACATTTGATTAACAGGTCTGCTCATGGATCTACCTTTTGTGTATCAGCCCCGAACGAAAACTGTAGAGTACTTGGCGCGCACCCGCGTGCTCCACATCGCAAAGTCGCAAAGATTTTTGAAGCAATTCCAGCACTTCTTTAGAGGCATCAACTAAGCTTGATTTATCGGCTGAGCTGTAGTCCTGAAGTTGTTTGGCTAATGTAAAGGTGGCAGTGGATAGTTCCCAGTGGACAAGGTCCCACAGCTCAGCATTTGCTTTACGAGTATCTAGACAATCCTTGGCCTTTTCGTAATAATTGAAGGCCTCGCTGTAAAAGACTTTTTGGCTGTCTAAAGTAATGGCGCTAAATCGGTGGAAAACTCAATCAGTTAATATTTAAGTAAATATGTCATTGTACTATTTACCTCTCATTAGGCATTGTGAGATGGGCACGCAGGCGCATAAACCGGCCCATATTACAATATAAAAAGGCCAGATTGACATTATCTTCCACGGCAGTGAAGGCTTCTATGCCTCGACGTAGGCAATCATAAGAATTTACTGTCAATTTGACATACAACGGCTCGGATGGATCCGTATTTTGGTTTTCCTCAGGTTGGCCATCCCCAGAAGCTTTAGAGGACTCCTTCTTCTTCATCAACTCACTGTACTCCTCTGGAATAAACATTTCCGATTAGTTTATTATTGCTTTTAGTAGTTCTTTTCCTTACCTTGAGCCCAGTACATGTACTTGAGGCCCAGTTCATTCCGCACATTTCCCAATCGACGAAGTAGTTCATTGCTCTCCGTTTTCTGAGCATGTTCCAATGCCTGTTCGTAACACTTACAGCTGTGCAGCATAACATGCTCTAAACTTTTGGCCGGTGCAAGGGAGGGCAGCTCCTCCTCCCCTCCATCCAACTCTTGCGCCAGCTCGTCGCCAATAACGCCAATCGATGCGTCCTGCTCCTCGTATTGCTGGGTATATTCCTCGATGGCCTCCCAGTGTTTTGACATCTGGAAGAAGCAGTCGCCTGCCCGGCCCAGCAAACAGCTATACTGTGAAACCACATTGGCCATGTACTTGTTAAGTACCTGTTGGCAGCGACAGGCCAGCTCAATGGAGCGCAATGTGTAACCATAGTTTTGGGATTCATAATAGTGCTCAGCTAAAGTTGCAAATGTTAGACAGGCCTTTTCCAACAGAAGAAGTTTCAAGTGCACATTCCAGGAGCCGAAATTCTGCGTGTTAAACTTAGCACTCATCTGCCGGTTGCTGGCATCAACGGACTTAGACTTAGCAGTGGTAGCTAGTTCCTTGGACTTGCTTCGTTTAGCCTTAGAGCTTGGCTTTTTTATAACTTGCGTCGGCTGCTGGTTAGGCTTCAGCTGCTCATAGGGTAGGGGAATTGGACTGAAAGGCTTAGACATGTTGGGATTCTGCTCCTCGTGCAGAATTCGCCGCTTTTCCTCCTGCTTGGCGTTTGTCTCCGACTCCTTCAGCTTCTCCTCCTGGCTCCCGTTAAAATACTGCAGGCAGGATAGACCAGCACTAATGTGCTCCAAAGAAATGCTACAACGCTCAGCAGTTGTAGCTAAGAGGGGAGCCGGTTTAGACTTCTTGGCATTGGATTTAAAGTCCCTGAGGGCATCACAAATATGACGCACAGCCACGTTGGCCTTTCCACCGCCCTCCTCGCTGCTTTGGTAAATCTTCTCGCTTGAGTAGTCGAGGAGATCATCTTCATAGTCCTCTTCTTCATCGTCTTCATCGTCGTCATACAACGATTGATCGTCGGAATCAACTTCCTCGAACTTAGGGGCTTTAGGATCAATGCCCGCGGGCACATGAAGATCCGAGAGTATATAGTGTGAGGAGCTAACGATCTGGGGATACTGTTCCTTCGGCAGCAGCTTGATGCAGTTATCCAAAAGGGCTCGGATGTTACCCGCAGCTTTGGGACTGATGTGTGGCAGTGTATTCTTCATGTTACGAGCCACCGAATAAAGCAGCATGCCAACCGGAACGGTAAAGGGATTTACTTGCTGCTGTGGCGGATCACCTTCAGACTTCTCCGCCGCCTGACTTTGGCATAAAGTGGTAAGATCGTACAACTTGACCACGTCATCGTTGCGCCCCTTGAACAACCAGTAGGTGTGCCCCGCCTTTGTAGCATTGGCCTTGAGAAAGGCCAGAATGTTTTGGGCCACGTTGCGGACAACCTGGGGTGAGAACTGCGAGTTCTCCAGGTAGGGCAGGTCCTCAGTCTTGATGATCTCGTACTTCTGCACAATTCCGTCCAAATGGTAACACATCACCACCTCGGGCACATTGCACATGAGGTTGTCCAACCAGTAATCGATGCCAGTTAACACGTTTATGGGCTGGGCGGCATCCCTTAAACGTAAGCTGATGCACGGTCTATTAGGTCCTCCGAAAATAGGCATATCTGTGCCGATGAGCATACGTATATCCTCAAAGGTCCAGACCACGTTCCTATTGAAGGCATGACTGGACTTTGGGTCCGGCACGTTCTCCTCTATCTTGGGTTCCGGAAGAACTGGTCCCGTGATGGGCAATCCCTGTCGCCTACTGGTCAATTGAGTGGGCGTGGTGGCCACATCGTAGTCCAACTCATCGCCAGTCTGCTTTAGACTGTGATAGAGAAATTTTGACAGAAGATTCTTGGTTTGAAGAGCTTCGCGGGATCGCTCCTTTAGGCAGTAGTTGTGCTGTGTATCCCCGTATGTCAGGACGTGCTCCAGAATAAAAGATCTAAGCCACTTCCAGTCGTCATCGGCCTTTCGCAGCAGATACTTTTGGATGTCAAACTCATCCAGGAGCAGTGTGTTGCCCACTTTATGCACCACCATGCTGATGGCGCTCTGTGCGCTATAAGGCAACTTGAGTAGCTGCTTAATGTTCTCGGCATCGCTGACCACATCCACCTCACCCACGCAGTCGGGAAACATCTGGCCCAGCCGAAAACTGGCGAATCCGGCACTTTGGTACAAGGCCTGATGCAATCCATGGCTACTGTGCGATGTAGTTAGCCAGTTGAGAGGCGGAAGATTCAAGTTAGTGTTGCATTCCAGCCGCTTAAAGTGGGCGGGTAGCTGCACGGGTGACAACTTAATCACCGCCTGGCTTTTTACCACATCCAGCTCGTGGGGCCCTGGCCCGATGCTCCTGCAGGGTTCGATCTGCAAATAAACAGATGTTATTTATATTATTTCTGCAAAGCACTAGCTTACCTCTTCGTTTCTATCTTCCATTCTCGTGGTGTCTCATCGGTAACTTGCTAAATCCCAAAAAATCATGGAATATTCAAGAAACTTCGAGCAGATGTGTTTTTGTTTTGCCGGCACAGCTGTGAACTACAGGAGTTTTCCAGCACTAGCTCAAGCGGCGCTGTCAATACTGAGGCATGAGCGTAGGTAGGAATGAAATTGTTCCCGTTAAAAGAGGCCTCTTATTTTCAAAACTATCTTAAATGTGATTTGTTAATTGATTTTAAATATCATATATATAGTATTTTATTAAACGTTTATCATTAAATGATTTAAACATAATTGTTATTTAATTACCTAATAGTCACACCCCTTTCCTACGGCACTGCGAATACCCAATCAGCTGACTCCCTGTCAGCACTGTCGCACTATTTTGATTTTACTAACACGATTTACCAAAGGCTGTCCGTAAAATTTCCCTAATTGGTCACTAAACTGACTTAAAACCATGACGCTCTTCGCCCTCATCGCGCTGCTCAGCCTGCTGAACACAATCCTGCCAGACTTTATAAGAAACTACGTATGTACTATTCGTTAAGTAAAAGCCCGGTATTAAAAATTCTCTGACCCCACAGCTCAAAGTATCCCGTTTGTGGAGCGCCAGGAACGCTTCAGAAGTCCGTCATTTGCAGGCTGAAGTGGACGATGCCCGGGAACAAGTGGAGGTGGTGCGCAATGCGGAACATTCAGGGGAATATGCAAAGACAATTAAAATAATGCGTGCCGAGCGCAAAGTGGCCGAAGCGGAGGCGAAACTGAAATCTGCCCGTGGAATGGAGAACCTAATGCGGATGGGCATCGATACGGCCATGTTCTACGGCTCCAAGGTGCTCCTTGCGCTGATCACGATCATAGTTAGCTTCCGGAACCGTGGTTCGCCTGTGATGATCATCGACGAGGGAATAAGTTTGGCACCATTCACGGGTCTCCTCAGCTTTCCCACCGGTGTGGCCAATGCTATTTCCGTGCCTGCCTGGGCCTTTTCCTGCAATCTGACTTTCCGCCTCATCTATGGTTTCGTAAAAAATCGAGGGGCGTGATTTAATCCGGATAAAATCCCTCCATTTAGTTTAGCTTTTAAAAGGCGCTCGAAACTATGTACTTTAAAATGCTTTACTAAGCTTCATCACGCATTAAGACCTTAATGTAAAGGCCCGATATTTTGTAAACACATAAAATAAATGTATTTTCACACAAAGAAATTTTTGAGTTGCGCGCCTTATCTTTGAAGGCTTTTCAACACTAAAGTTGTGCTGTCAACTAAACAGTGTTGCAGAGCGTTCGACCTATATGAGTGCGTGTCATTTTCCCCATCGAATTTGTTTGGTGTTTTTGTTAGTCGAAAATGGACAAACTAAATGAAAATGCCCGGGAGCGAAAGCAAATCAAGCTTGGCGAGATCGACACTGGTCCAATTTTATTGGCCCTTTTGCTGGGCTTCATTGCAGTAGGTGAGTACGCCACGTGGTGGTGGCCTTTCGTCCCCGAGAGTCTCACCTAATATTTGGAATCCCTTCTTCTCACTTAGCAATCTTTGTGATTCTGCGGAAGCGCACCGCTGGGCGTAAGGATTTCCTCCTCACCGGTCTGAGTGAATCTGGCAAAAGTGCCATCTTCATGCAGCTGCTCCACGGCAAATTTCCGACCACTTTTACTTCGATCAAGGAGAATGTTGGAGACTACCAAGCGGGCAGTTCATCAGTCAGATTAGTGGACATTCCCGGACATTACAGGGTGCGCGACAAGTGCTTCGAGCTGTATAAACATCGTGCCAAGGGGATAGTCTTTGTAGTGGACTCCGTTACTGCCCAAAAGGATATCCGTGATGTGGCAGAGTGAGTTTTCTGCAGGAATACACTAAAGATCATATTCTTATTAAGTTGTTGTTCCAGTTTCCTCTACACTATATTATCAGATAGCGCTACACAGCCATGCTCTGTATTAATCCTTTGTAACAAACAAGATCAAACCACCGCCAAGAGTGCCCAGGTCATCAAAGCTCTACTGGAGAAAGAGCTTCACACAGTACGCGATACTAGGAGCCGCAAACTGCAATCCGTGGGTGATGATGAGGCCAACAAACCCATAACACTGGGCAAGCCAGGACGCAATTTCGAATTCTCACACATCGCACAGAATATTCAGTTTGTGGAGGCCTCCGCCAAGGAGCAGGAACTCAATCCTCTCACCGATTGGCTGTCTCGCCTCCTGTGAAGTGGAAACACAAAGCTCTCTGACTGAGAAGAAACAGAAGTCCTAAAGGAACGAATGCAGAACACAAAACAACATATTGATATTTATTTTAATTCTTAGCGCCCTCGTATATATGCCATGCCTATATATATCGCTGTTAGAATATAAATCCCTGCATTGTTAAATACCCGACACCCCAAGCCTTTGTCTCCTTCCAATTTCCCCGTCTAATTTTAAGTTATTGTGGAAATTTTTATACTTTTTAGCATTAATTTGTCGGTTGAATTTGAATAAGAATCATGTATTGATCGAACGAGAAAAGAGTTGTGCATTTATAAACGCTGATGCAGATCATGGGCTCAGTAAAGGTTTTAAAAATAAAATACGGGTCCTCAAAAATTATTTTGAAGAATTTCTAATAAAAAATGTATTACAAAAATTAAACGTATTTATAAATGGTAAGAACATAGAAGATATATTTGATCCATGGCCGGATCCATGTATTCGGTATGAAATAATTATTGGTTGATGTTTCCTTGTCTAATAAGTTTTCCTTTAAAATACCGTGCCGCCAGCATTCAAAATGAAATTTGAATTTGAGATCACATTTTGTAGTATCGATATCAATCTGTTGATATCGATTTTTGAAGTTCCATTTTCATACACAAAAGTGAGATGGCGCCTCAATCTACATTTATATTACATGTGTAAAATAATTACTTTCACTTAATTTATAAACAGCTTCTGCTTATCTTTTACTAAGTCTTAATCCTGTAAACTTTTACGAATAGTTATTATAATTGTTTAACAATCTAATTTTAGTGTCCTTTTCCTATTTAAATGGACATTTAAACACTACATTAGGGAGCACCCACTAAAGATTTCATCTTAAAAGTTCAATGTCAACAGCTGTATTTTATTTTATGATCACAGACAAACATTAGAAGTTTTTGGCCAGCTGGTGGAACTTGTGTTTGTTTTTAGATTTTTAAGAACTCAACCCGCTCTCTACTGGCAGTTGGCATCCAGTTCCAGGCAAAACCATATTTTTGGCCAACTGTCCCAGAAACGAAGGTTATCATTGGTTCGCTGGGCAAACGTTTGGCGCATGCCCAAGCTTTCAAACCTTTTTCGCGATTTGAGACCTTTACCGAACCAGCTGAAACAGCTGTCGATGAGCTTGGGCAGTCCATCAATATCAATCCATCGATGATCCGCTCCGCCGGCCGAAGATCAAAAAGCCGCCACGAAAATCAATGAACTCGCCTGCCTGCTCGGCTCCACTGACTAGATAGAGTTTCTAGGCTGGCGAATTTCTAAGAATCCAGAGCTTTCATGATTTGCCGAATTTCTTGTGGAAGTTAACTGGGCGGATGTCCCTGGCCGCTATCCTCATCCTCTGCTGGCAGCTGACATCGATGTTGGAAGTGGTCAACTGGCCAACTTCGTTGGTGGGCATTGACAGCGGACTAATGATGGACAAAGCTGCGAATTTCGGGGAAAAGTGCGATTAAAACAAAGGCGGGTCGAGCATTCTGAGTGCTCAATGGGTTTGCCTAATCTGGGGTATTGTGACTGGGTTCTGGATATTCCCGATTTCCTCTTTGGGATTTTCTTTGCATTGTAGAGCTCAAGTTTATAATTGCACAGAATGATTGTGAGTAATAAAAAATAATCAAAACTATTAGTCAGTAATAAATGAAGAGTTAATTATTTCCCAAAGATTTTACATGCAGTCAGATTTCATAGAGTTTTACTTTCTCCATAGCTCCTTTCCCCTCTCAACAGACTTCTGCACTTCCTGTCCAGACTCATTCCACTCTCATAAAATCTGATTCTGATTCGGTGTCATGTGCATTGAAGCACGTGCTACACCCGAAAAAAGAACAGGAGGCGCAAAAAAGTGAACGAGAAATGCAAAGTGCAGCCAGAGAGCCAGACTTTTACAGCTGGAGACTGACTTCAGGGAGTCGGAGGGAACCATATGTTGCAGACACGCTTTAGCCAAGCGGAAGGAGTGCCCCTCTCTGACCGACGAATGGAAAACCCGGGGCGTACACAGTAGCTGCAAATTATTCACGACTGATTAGGCAGAAAAACGCAACAGGCAAGTCGAAAAAATACATACGATATCCTCGAACAGATCCGATTACCACAAATTCAGAAATCTCTTCTCTTCTTATTTTTTTTGGGGCCAGAGGTGAAGCAGAATTCACTGGAAGGCAGACAGACATTTTTGAGGTTAGACGGGGGGCATATTGAATTACGATCGCAACGCCAACCGTTAGTTGACCAAAAAAAAAAAAATTAATAAATAAATAAAGTTGAACTTGACTGGGCAATAAATCTGCGATTTTTAGAAAGTCTTTATGCGATTTATGGGCGTAGACCCCTCCTGATATTTTAATAAGCCCGCTTGCAATTACATCGCGGGGAGGGCTTTTTAAATGGGGTGGGCAATATAAGGTATATATGAAGTGTACCTATAGGTATGGGTATAACTCGGCAGATGCAGCAGGCGCCCATTAAATTTTTATGTACACAGGCGCGACGTTTTGTGGGTTTTCACGACCTGCCACCAGAATTGTGCGAGAAGAGAGAGTGGCGACGCCGAGCACATACTCCGTATGCAATTTATTTTAACACATCGTTAAAGCTCAAAAAATAAATCTTGACGCGCCGGACACTGCAATTATCACCTCTGCATAATCAGCACTGGCGGACAACTGGACAAACGGACAACTGGTCAACGAGGTGAGCACATCGAACAAGGAGAGCAACGCATGCCCCCAGGTGGGGCAGCTCCTCCGACAGCTGGTTGCAGCCCGGTTAGCTTTCATTTTTTCGGTAACAGGAGCAGCATCAATGTACTGAAAGAAAATCAAATTGCTAAAATGTGTTAGATGTTGCCCTTTAAATCGAATTATTTTTTATGTTTTTTTTAAATACTCATTGATATTTAAGGATCAAGATTTTGATAGTTGGAAATAAAACTTTCATTATCTACATAAATATTAATGGTATTAGAAAAATCTAAGATTAATCTCACACAGTTAACTCCAAATGATATTTTCTCCCTGTGTGGTGCATCCGTCCAGCCCACGCGGCCCAACTCTTTGGCAGCAGCATAATGGCAGGCCATTTAGCACCTTGTTGACGCGGCATCTAATTAAATGGTGCGAGACAAGAGGACCTGCCCAACGAAACCAACGCCGGCCCATCTCTGGATTCGGGTTCGGGATGGAGTTGCTGGTTGCTGGTTGCTTTTCGATGGGCTGGGTTTGGTTCCCTTTCAGCTAATATCGAGTGCAATTTCCATGTAATGCCAAATTGTTGCGCCTTGTTGTTTGGGCTATCACGATGCTGTGGATGTGGATGTGGATGTTTCTGCTGCTGCTGCTGATGATGATGATGATGGAGATAATGGCGGACACTTGACGCTCAGAGTTGGCTGTCATCATGGGGAATTGACTCTCGACTCTGGGCAATCGCTTTCAACAACTGCAACACTTTCTCATCACACCTTGGGGCAGAGGCATTGATGATTATTTTTGATTTCTGTGCATACATTTCTTGATTAATTATAATGCCCAGCGATCCGAAAAGGGGGACCCACCAGCGGCAGCTGCGAAATCAGCTTGGCAAATTGGAGCTTTTGCCGTGCCATAAACGTTTTTTCTCATGACACGACGCCCGGGCTCACGGATAATTATGGGTTAACTTCACCCATTCCCCATGCATCCATCCATCCAGCTCCAAACTCCACACATTCAGATTCAGTTTTAGTTTCAGTTTCAGGTTCAGGTTCGGATATTCAGTGCGTGCAGCCCAGTAGCCAATGGAATCTGTGGGGCAAATTGTTTGCATTGCCCCCAGTCACAACATATCCATTCGGTAAGCCTGGGATCCCAAGCTCTGCGGTGCTCTTCGTGTCAATTGCACATCACGCGCTGTTTCATTAAGTTTATTTTTAAAGGAAATTATTTTTAAACGCAATAATTTGTTGCGCCGGCGTTTGTGGGGCTACCAAAATGAACGTGGTTAAAGGAATTTCTGCTCTGGCCCACCCCTCATACTATACTTACTGCGATGGGGGACTGGCTGACTGTCCGGTGTGGTAAATTTAGACATTTCAAGGTTGGTATTATCTGCAATGAAAAAGAAAGTTGCCTCAGCTGGATAATTGCTACCCTTGGCAAAGGGGAACCAGAATTCCCGGAGGTCTTTATGGGGATTACTAACCTGGGAGAGTAATTGATTTTTGTTCTACATAGCCAGTGGGTATTATATCTGAAGAATATAATAATTAGTAATTACAAACATTACGATATCTTGTCAATCACAAAATCTAACCTACTATTTTTATCCATTTCGTTTAGTCTTTTGACTCGACATCATCGAAAGTGGCCCAGCCACATTCTACCAGTCAAGTGTTGGTCATAAACAAGTGCGGCCTCCGTCATCTAAATGCAAATGCGCAACAAATTCACTTAAACGCGAAGGACAGACTTTTGAGGGGGGCTTGGTGGGGTGGGTTGGTAACCACCTGCGCCAAAAACGAAGCTTATGGCTTGGACTCAGCGTTGCGGCACGCTACTGCTATCAAAGTAAGTATTTTGCCTTTGGCAAATTAATCACTGAAACAGGGCCCAAAGGGGGAAGCCAAGACGAGGTTACGTTCAGTTGTCCAAAGCGCCGGCTAAAATTTATACACAATAGATGGATGCGGCGTGGTGGCATTGTCAATGGGGGCTATTTATCGACTGTGTACCAGGTTCAAAAAGTTCATTTTTCGTACATTTTTATGATGTTTAAAAAACGCGAAAATGGTCTGTCCCGATTTGTGTCTCAAAATTTCAGTATTTTCGTCATTACAAAGCTAAAAATGGTCGGAATATGGAATGCCATACCTCGTTGAGCTTCTTTTTCAATCTATTGTCAAAATATTCAACTGTCATCCAAATCTGAAGAAAAAAATATTTTTTCAATTTTTCGAAAAAATGATGATGTTACCCCTTACAAAAAATGCAAAAATTGAGAAAAAATAAACTTTCGAAAATCATCACCAAAATGAAACAGAAAGTTTATTTAGGTCGTTAGCTGCACAAAACTGCCTTTCTTTTGGTTCTGCGTCTTCTTTGGACAAAGTTATAAGCATAACACTGGGAAAAAATATCGAGAATTTTACTCAAAAGTCATATTTTTGATTTTAAGCCCTAACTATCAGTATTTTCCTCATTACAAAGCCGAAAGTGGTCATAACATGGAATGTTATACCTCGTTGAATTCGTATTTAAATTTCCCGTCGAACTGTGTACCACATTCAAAAAGTACATTTTTTGAGATTTTTCGTAAATTTTTATCATGAAAAGATCCTGTCGAAAATCGGTTGGTTCCAAATC